AGAGAGAGAGAGAGAGAGAGAGAGAGAGAATTACTAATCTCTTTGATGTGAAAGACTAAACCATCGTTTAATTTGGGCCCTAAAACGAGTGGTTTAATTGAGTGAATGAATTATATTAAGTGCTGCTAAGACTCGTATCGCTAGTTATTATATAAGTCTTGTGTTTTGTTTCCCAATCCATTACAGAATATTCAGAGTTATACGGAATATTCTACAACATTAACCCATATTATGATTATTATGACAATTAATGTATTCACTAGTTATGAGTTCTAATATTAATTTGCATTTCAGTTATTTATCTAATAAATTGATTTTTTTCTTTCGGGAAGTATTTCCATTTGATAACAGCATTTCAGTAATTGTTTTTAATTCTCTATTTGAATACAAAAGACATGACAAAACACTACAATAAAAACCACTTTCATTACATTAGAAAAAACTAATTTAATATTCAAAATTCAGTTATATTTGCAATGAATGTCTCCATTACTACACGACATGCCATATATTTTGCATTATATTTGAAATTTAATAATTGATAAGTGTTTTCTATATGTGTTTTGGACTTGTTTTGAGTTTTAAAACTATTTTTAAATCCAAGTTTCACGCAATCAAAGAGTTTATTAATAAATGAGTTGACATTTAAAGTACAAAAATGTTGTTGAAATCATGTAAAATACTTTTAGAAATGGACTTTACTGTAGAGTCTAGACGTGTTATATACGGGCACTTAAAATGGCAAAATAAATTTTCACAAATCGACAATCATGTTAAGTACATAACCCGGACTTGAATCAAATGGTATACAATAATTTTGTGTAAATGAACTTAATTTAACTGTAAATATCTATCAACTAATTTAAAACGAAATAATAATTATAAAATATCAATCACTTACGGAATCTCTTATCCGTGGATCAGCTCCGGCTCTGATGAGAATCTTATATATTTTACTGCCGTTGCGATTAGTGGTGGCGGCGGAGTAGTGAAGGGCTGTTCGGCCCTCTTTGTCCCTCAAGTTGACGGTATCGGGAAACTTGTCGAGTATATACTCAACCACATCGATGTGTCCCATAATAGTCGCCTTATGAATGGGAGCCATTCCCAAGTGGTCTTTGGCCACAACGTAATCATTCTTCTCGTCGAGTCCGTCCTGAAGGCCGAGCAGATCACCGCACGAGACGGCCGCATGAATCACACGGATTTTGTTCATCATTTTGGGCACCATTTCCGATATGTATAGCATAGAGTCGGCGCTGTCGTCGTCGGTAAAGTACTCGGCCTTCTCCTTAAGCCGAGTGCCGTAGCCCTCCATCACCACCCCCTCCAACATCTCCAGATTGTTCTCTTGGATCCATCGCTTTAGGTTAGCCGACGACACGTCCAGACCTATCCATAATGATAGACATCGGCGTTAAAAACAGTGATAATTGCCGAGTGATGTCTTACGGGGAGCCGATGGCGAGTTGAGGGCACCGCCGACTCGACCCCTCACTGATGACACGTTACTGCCGTCATTGCTGGACGAGTCGGCCCTATCCGAGAGGGTCTCTTCGCTTTGTGTGCCGTCATTGGCGCCACTCTTTCCCGACAAACCATTCAATTCTGACGGTCTCTTCACTCGATGGGACGGAGAAAGACTTCTTTCCTTTCCTAAAGATTGTGTTGTAATTTCAAACAATTGTTATTTCAAACCAAAGTATGAATAAATATAAAACAAAAATCACATTTCCTATCAAAGACTAAACATTTGATGTGCTTTTCATAGATTATAATATAATTTCTATTAACAGTACGCGAAAAGTGTTTTTATAGATGTTAAGGGTTTATGACATAAGCCTTGGAGGGACACAATGTGTGCACACAATGAGTGATCAAACATTCAAATTGGTTGCTATAATAATCCCCAGAAGAATATCTAATATCTGATCCCTTAATATTAGCCCTCAATGTATGAGTGATTACAAGCACTTACTTCTTGACGGAGACTTTGATTTAATGCGATTCGCAGTATTGATGGCATAGTTTGCGTTAAGCCGTTGCGATCTCTTCATGATTTGTTGCAAATTTATTTGGTCCGGAAATCTGAGATAAAAATCTGCATTTTTGCCTTTCTATACAGCCATACAAATGATCGCCATATCATTTGGCCATAGATTTTGTCGCAACAGTTGGCAATTTGTAAAGCAAAACAAATTGAATTATCAGAAAAAAAACTTTTTCAATCAAAAAACTTGTTGGCAAAGAGAAAATGATAATCATTTTATTGATTATTTGTGAACTTTTTATGTCCAGTATATTCACGTGTTTGCCATTTACTTATATGAGCTTTTTTTGTTAATTTAGATAAACTATAAATAGGTTTTAAGTTATAATTTACTTACAAAATCAGGCAATAGAGGCGAAGCGCCCGCTTTGACTAACATATTGTAAAATTTTCGGTCGTCGTCTATACAACTGGCGTAGTGTAGGGCTGTTCGGCCATCCTTTACACCATTAGAGAGAGAGAGAGAGAGAGACATCAAACGCTCCGTTGGTTCAAGAATTTCTCGACAAATTACCAGATTTTATTGTATGTATCGATTTGTATCATCGCTTTGTTTTCACTCAGAAATGATATTAATATTTATGTATTAGTTATT